TTTTGTTTTGATACGCGCCATCTTGCCAAGGAGCAAAAATGCAAAAATAACGGAAAATATATAGGTGATCCATGTCATCGATGTCTTTTTTGTATTTTATTGTGGCGAGCTGTTAATATCAATCGACTGGACGTCATTGCTGAAAAAGAGCTTTATTTGCTCCCTGCACGACTCATTAATGCATTACGATTCCAGATGGCCGCCGCATCGTCGAAGGAATCAATTGCCTTCATATGTAAATTACCCATTTCGAGCCATGTGTTGTTTTCGTGATGTTTGCTTGATTATTCTCTGGTGATTAATGCTTCTTTCAAATATTTTCATATATTCACATGAATATGAACCGATAAATAAGCAGAATAATAAAGAACGTCATGTAAACATCACAGGGTTTGAAATTACATAAAAAGTAATTAGGATTATTTATGCAGATTTGGACTAATCTATATCTTAGCTATTGGCAAATACCATTAAAAGTCAAAACACAGAATTCAGTTTAACAGATGATATTCCCTTAATCTAGTCCTGGGTAGCAAAGAACGCCCTGCCAAGTCCTGCTTAGACATTCTGACCAATGGCTTTTCAAATGGATCTGGTGTTTACTTACTCGATCCGGCCAACACAGGGAACCCAATCGAAGCATACTGTGACATGACAACTAATGGAGGTAAAACATTTGATTGTGTATCTATTGATTAATGCTTTATTAAACTAACATTATAACCGGTGGGCTCGCTTGGTTAAACCAGAGCTTCGTAGGTCGTGGTTGRACTTCCGGCCAGACCAACACTCTTAAATAAGTAAGAAGAAAGTCCTGCATCTGTAATTACATCAATTGCAATTGGTTAGACTTTCGAGTGGCTCGGATGCCCTCATTAAATAGCGGTCTCGTCTCTCCACACTTTATCATTATTATTGATTATTATTGATGGATAATATAACAACATCTAATAAGCTTAGTTCTTTCAGTATCTTGCTAGTATCCAGTGATATTATTTTTATTATTATATTTTACTTGTATTTATATATCTATTTATTATATGACCGTGAATCTAAGAGCCTGGACACTAGCAAATCGAGCAATCTGATTGGATAGATCGCTTCGCGGACTGGTCTAGATTCTCCGGTATTAACCGGTCCGATCGCATATTAATCTTACGGCGAAAACATTTTGTCCTTTTCAATGAAAAGTGGKCATATAATAAAACTCTTATCAACCGAGCTTGGTCGGTCTGTACGAGATAATCTTGACCTCAGTCTGTACATTCCGACCTCGGTCAAGATTATCTCGTACAGACCTCCCGCTCGGTTAATAAGATCTAAATATTTTTATTATTGTGTATCTTTTTCTTTTTTCTTTTTTTTTTAACATTTTTGTCATAGCTATTAAATTTTTGTCCTTTAGCTCGCTCAAACTAGCACTTGTGTGCTATCATATTCATTTATTATCATCATTATTATTATTATTATTATTATTATCATTATTATTATTACTAACCAATATGGGAGGGACGTAAAAGAACCACTGAGGCACTCGATGCAAGTCGCTTTTGATTATATCTACACAGAACGAGCGCTGAATAAATCATAAATCATTATTATTACACTTAACTGTTGCATATTTATAGGTGGCTGGACYAAAATCAAACGACTCTATTTGGAAAGCCCTTCTTTACCACAAAATCAGGGGTACAACAATTATCGTATCATTGGCCAGTACAACAACAACAACAGAAGTATCATCCCAACTTCAAAGGCTTTGCTGGATATTCACCAAAAGATGGGGTTCCATCAAATCCATTTCTATTGTTACAAGAAATCAGTAGGTAGAGTCGTGAGCATCATGACCAAGAACGATACCGCTGGCCAAGATGTTATACATTTTTTCACGACTCGAGAGGTCTCAGTTTTCCCCACTGCATGTGGCTCGTTTGATCGACTGCCCGAGGACACGTCTATTCTGGCCCAAAACTGTTCCCTTTGGGGTGAAATAAACAGCACTACCATTCAAGTCGACAAATGGGGTAATTACGGTTACCGCCATGGGCAACGAATTAATAATTACCCATTTGGAATTGAGGGGGACAATAAGCATTTATTTTCATGTCATAGTCAAGGTCCCTCTAACATGAGGGGCGCGTGTGATGATAGTGGTAGTCCATTGAAAATAAACGACACTTGGCAAATTGCAGTTCGTTAAAATCACGTGGAAAACGATGAGGTTCATCAGTTTATTAATGCAAAATCTTTTACATACCCTCTTGAAACAAAGTATATTATCATTCAAATTATTTGTCTGCCGTTTTGATTGGCCGAGATAACTGCTAATGGCTACCTACAAATGGTAGTCTCCTTATGCGCAGTAACGATGCATTTCTCAACATGACTCGCTTCACTGTAATTTGCTATGCATTACAATTATGCGCTCAGAGCCCAATTTCCTTTTGGCCAGCACCGAGAAACGAGGGGGAGGCTCTGGTTGCGGCCAATTTTGGAGCCAAAGTCTTTGTTTTAAAAGTTTGTCTGCAAATCGATATCCCCCAAGACTTTTTTTATTTAAAAAAAATGGTCATGTATTGTGAGGGTTGTGATCACCACAAATTAATGTCTTTGCATGTTCCTTTTTTTTTTTTTTTTTGCAAATTGAATTAAAATTTAACGACAAGGCAAAAGTTGTAATCTGTAAATTATAAATCAGGTGGTAATAAAGATATATCTAAGTTTCCAAATTCAGCTTTTATTCAACTAATTAAATTTTGATTCGGCTACGTGAAGCAATATACTAAACTCGAACAATACTCCAGATTCGAGTTCTCCTTTACTTTGGGTAGGCCTCGACTTTGTGTAGAATATTCATGTGTTCCACGAAGGTCCGTGGAATTTCAAAGTGTTTTTTACGTGGAGATATTAGCATGTACTTGCTATCTTTAATTCAAGGATAGATAAAGTTATTGTATTGTATTTTGTATTGTATTATTGTTAAACTCGTGGGTTCTTTACTTTACCGTTTGTAGTTGTGAATGTTCAGACACTGATACGAAGCTATGCCTGAGTAAATAATTCTATAATCAAGAAACGTTAAGTTGGAACTCGAAAAAGGTCTTTGGAAAGTAGTAAGGTTGGGATTTTCGTAGGGGGGAAGCGTTGCGTGACAAACCCTACGAACGTCTGCGTCAGAGTTGGCAATCTAGTACCCAGGGTCCACGTTCCTCTTGGTCAGCACCGAGAAACTAGAAGGAGGGGAAAAAGAGGTCAAGGAAAAACTGGGTCGAGCTGACATTCAGTGTATGTGGGGCTGTTTTAGGAGACGAAATAGGCGCCATCTTGGAATATATACCCTAAAACAGCTCCAAAATGCACCGCAACGACAGCTCGACCAAGTTTATCCCCTTAACTTCGGAATGGTTAATAATGGACCCCCAAAGAGTAAAGAGTTGCAAAGASTAAAGGACTTTCTGTTTCCCCAAGTAACTTCCAGAATATACTTGTCCAATAGCATGAGACTGAATGAATTGATTTCGCAACATCTGGACGGGAACAGATGAAACCATGACATGATATTAATTCATATATATTCGTGCTTTCGGGGTTCTTTAAAATATTACCGAACAAAGATTTCAGAGGAGGTCCATAAAAAATATTACATAAACGATTATCTAGTAATGTCTGTTAGTTAACCATCCATTGCCATGGGTGCCAGGTTTGTAGGTTAATTTATATTTGATATAATCTATATGCACTTAACCTTTATGATCGCATTATCTAGAAATTGATGTTAACTTTATGCATTACAGATGGCCCAATGTGGGACCAAAGATATCACAAAATGGATGTTGGAAAGAGAGAAAGAAAAGAGAAAGAAGGAATGAAGGAAGGAAGTAAAAGATTGGGCGAGAGAGAGAGAGAGAAAGAAGAGAAAGAGAAAGAGAAATAGAAAGAGAAAGAGAAAGAGAAAGAGAGACTATTCAAAAACTACGAAAATATGAAAAATATGGTCACAGCTGGTTTTACCATTTTCTTGGTTTAAAATAGAAAAGTGCAAGAAAACCTGCCTCGGCAAGGATCCGGGACGATAGGAGGGACGATCAAAGACTAAGATATGAAACTATGAGTAAAATTGAATAGTCAGGATTCATTTGTTCCTAGCCCAGAAAAAGGCCACGAAATAATTTACACAGACCTGGCCACAGATATACCAAACGTTGTATAAAGATAGGCATAGATACTAAAAAAATAAATAATACTTGAGGAGCATTTAAATTTCGATGTAATATTCCAGTTAATGGGAATTCACTTTTTTAAAGAGGAGTATGTTTGCGGCCAAATTGGTATTACCAAATGATGCGTTTCTTGATAACATGAATAAGACGCTGAATTGTAAAATTTAAAAATAAGGTCTCTTTCGTGTTAACCGTATCCCAGTCGATTGTAAATACACTTACATGGATGGATGGATGGATGGATGGATGGATGGATGGATGGATGGATGGAATATCCACTTTTACAGTACACCATATCAAAATATATGACCAGTTTGAATAAATATTGGATGGAAAATATCTTAAGGTCGACAAATCAGCTTTCTTGTGTGTTCAAAAATAAAACTGTCAAAAATTTACTTTTTGAAGAGAACGTGTGTATTTTCAATGTTTTTATATTATCGTGTGATTTTCTATGGGCATATTTTTGCTTTCGACTCAATAACGATCTAGATGTAAACTGGGGAGATATTCATGAGGAAGAAATTTTTCAAAAACCTGAAAAAAAACACCTTATGCGACGTATGTTTTTATAATAAAAATGTCCAACGCATAATGAAACTTTTCAGCACAGCTGTGAGATTATTACAGTTAACACCTTTAAACATAGCCGTGTTTTTCCAAAACTAATCATTCGCATAACGACCAAGATGTGAAGACATAACACATACAATACATTCAGCTTGTAAGTACAGTTAGATTCAAAAAACTTTACAAAGTCTGACAACACGAACCATCTTATTCTTTGGGATTTCCTTCTTTCTAGATTGACTTTACATGCCCCCTGAAACAAAGTTGTATGACTAGTGACTCAGTGTCAAGCAAAACAATAGAAAACGATGGAATTTGTGTCTACGTCTATGTATTATCTTTAGTTTTTTTTACGGGCCAAATAAAATCACTCTTAAAACAAAAAGACATCAAAATAGAAAGAAACAGAACAAAACAAGAAAATAGCTTTCCCATATTAGTTTGCTTGAATTTATATGTTCTCTAYTTTTTGACAACTGTATTATTTTATATTTATGATTCCCTCTGCCTCCTTTGGTTTTCTATAAAATCTTAAATTACAATTCGAAATATTATACCATTGTGGGGAGCACTCTGTCAAAATAACTAACTGAATTAAGAATTTCATTTGTCGCTATGTTTTCGGGTTGTTAAGTGTTCAGGCACTTCAATGCTCTTACTAGGAAAGTTTGAAGTAAAGTAAGCGACATCAAAAAATAAAACTAGGAAAGGAAAATTAAAGAAAAAATTATGAAAAAATTTTTAATAAAAAGGTACTTTGGCCGAATTTTTTAAATCTAAGTTACTGCCAAAGCATCACCAAATGTTGGATGGTGGCTCAAATTCAAGCCAAGGTTATTTGCATGCATTAATGAATATTTACACATCATACAGGTTATAAGACGGTCATTTGAAAAAAGAATCCAAGCAGTCCATTCATTTTTTAATGCTCGCGTTATCGACTTATATGGATTGCGAGCAAGCGATTTTCGACGAGAAAAAGGATACACTTAACAGATACTCTCAACATCCCAAGTGTTATGAAATAACAAACGCGCCAAAAAAACGAAAAAAATTTCGTATTTTTCTGATGTATTTGTAAAGGATGACGCGAGCGTGTTTTGATATCCTCATCAAACATGGTTTTCGACCAATCGTAACTCCACACTGCACAGCAAGCAAGTTTCTTATTTCTTTTATGAAATAAAAATTACAATAATCGTTATTTTAGATAGGAATGACGCAACTGAAAGTGAGCGAGTGTGCTGTGTGCTCTCATAAAGCACGCGCTATCAACCAATCAGAACGCGAGATTTATAGCAATTGTTTTATAATAGATAATAAAAAATGAATAGAAATAATTATAAGGATAAGAATAATCGGTAAAACTATAATTCTACATCATTTAACACCTTACGAAGGGGTTTCCCGAAATATTATTCGCTTTTTATCTCCTTCTTCTTTTTAGGAAAACAAGATAACGAACAACATTTAAATGAAGTTAGTCCTTTCTTTTCTTCATGATAACAGATATAAGCAATAATGGCGCTGTTCAACTCACTTTTACTGGTGATATATTTCACGATATGTGCAGTAGTCGCTCAGACCAATCAAGGTAGGAATAAATTATGCGTTCGGAGCGTGTAATGAAATAGAGAGGATAAGAGAATTATGTCATTTCCCATGTGCCATTTCGGTCTCAGCTCTTATGTTCTATGTTTCAGATGTTTCTTAATGCGAAACGCGTATACTGAGTGTATAATCTGATTAATAACACACGACCGGCAGTGCATGTCATATTGTAGGCTGATAATGAGATTCATAAGATTCATTCAGCTGTTTGATACTATGAATAAGAATACTCTCTGCTTGATAGCACATGACGTGCAGTGTTTACCTGTCGTTGTAGGCTGACAATAAGTAGTGTTTAAAAAACGAGTAGGAGTGTTTTATCAGGTATAAAAGCACGAGACGTAGCCGAGTGCTTTTATACCTGATAAAACACGATCTACGAGTTTTTTGAACTGCTTATAACACTCATGAACAATTTATAAGATTTTGGTTCAACTGGAGCCACCATACACGTCACGAACATGGATTTTATACTTCGATAGAGATTTGACGTCAGGGGCATGCGCAACCATATTCAATAGAAGCTCCCACACGTTGGATATTGCGTGCCAAGGCAAAGACAGGCACGTTAGTCAAAGATCATTAGGGTTGACTATGACCTTGATGAAGCTCTATGTCTTCATCTAAACTTGGATGCATACTTCATCCACATGCGTCTTTATATAAAATCACTTGAATACTAATGAAGAGGACTTTATCGGGTATAAAGGTTGATGCACGCGACGTGTATGGTGGCTCCAATTGGACCATAAGCTTATGAATTATCAATGAGTGTTTTAAGATACAATAAAGCTTTGAAGTGATGACATATTTCCGGGTCCAACTTCTCTCAACAACGCTGTAAAATAAAGTGAACAATGTTTTCGATGATTTAACCTTCATCTGAGACACTTACGACTTTGGACAACGTATCCTCTCATGAAAAATATGTAATAAAAATATTTAAAGGACTGCTTTTCTTATTGGACTTAGTTGTCGTCTTTCCACCATTGACAAAGCCACACAGTAAAAGCTATAGCACTGATTGCATCATAAAATGATAAGAAGGTAAACGGTAATCAAATCAAATATTATTAACAATCTGCCTTCTGCCACAGTTTGTCCAACTAGTTGCACATGTACAAGTTACCAATACGAAAACGAACTGGTCGTAAATTGCCAAAATATAAGCTCAGTTCCCAAGGACATTCCTAAACATGTGTTTACACTGTAAGTAAATCGTGATCAAAAAAGTACTCAATAAGGTGAAGGTCTTCATGACAAAGAATTCCCTTTTTGGCCTTAGCTTTGTGTTTTAGATTTTCATCTATAGGTGGGCGTGCGATCAC